TTGCCCCTCGCTTAGGAACACTGAGGCAAAGAACTCATTGAGGAGTTCAGCCTTGTCCCCCCTGTCCGTCACCAATTGCTTATGCCCATTTAGTAGAGGTCCTATTCCACCCTGGGCTTTCCTTTTACTCCCTATATATCTAAAGAACAATGTTTTGTTATCCTTAACTTGGGATGCCATCCTCAGCTCCATGGTAGCTTTGGCCTGTCTAACTGCCTCCCTACAAGCGCGAGCAGAGGAGGTATACTCCTCTTTAGTAATCTCTCCCCGTTTCCACTTTTTATATGCCCCCTTTTAGCCCGTAGACTGCTCTGGATTTCTCTGGTCAGCCAAGGAAGCCTCTTGGCCCCTTTTCCCCTTTTCCCCCGCATCGGGATCGTCTCCCTCTGTGCCCGAAGGATCATTTCCTTAAGGCACAGCCACCTTCCTGGGCTCCGAAGTCTTTAAAACTCTTACTCTGCAGTGCTTCCTTGACTAAACGCCTGAGTTCATTTAAGTCAGCTTTCTTAAAGTCCAGCACTTTCACGGTACTAGTTACCTTACCCACTCAATGTCTTATGGTGAATTCTATTATTTGGTGATCACTGTCCCCCAGGTGACCACCGATCTGTAGGTCTCCTACCATGTCATCCCCCATTGACAATACCAGGTCCAGTAAGGCATTCCCCCTAGTGGGAATATTTAGAAATTTCCCATATATAGAATATAATTATGTGGGGGTGGGAGGGCGTCATCTTATAATAAGGTTCATCTTCTATTCAAGTAAATAAAGCACTTATGTCAATGGAAGATTTGAATCTACTTCAATACAGCCAGGATATCAAGTTTTTAGTGTACGAGGAGATCACTTGACAAATCTAAGAACCAGAAAGAATAGTTTTGTTATTGGTTTAATAGACGGAATGAGAAATAACACAGCTATTAGAGTTTTCCACGCAGAATTAGAGCATGCTTTCAAGGCTCTCTACCAGCATGATTCTTTATTTTTCCTATGATAAAGAAAGTTGGACAAATTTAAGAAGCACACCACACAGTACAAAGACCTGGGGAATGCTGTGTGCACTGAGATCCTTCCAAGTCATATTAACTTATAAAAATGCATGTGTTTTATGAATGAAAGACAGCATTTTCAGAAATGGTCAGCACTAACTCTAAAGTCAATATCGAAATCCTACCGAGTTAGACCAAAACTGATCTATTTCATGTGTAATTGGCAAAATATCTTCAAGTCAATTAGAACTGGCACATGCTAAACAAAATACTAATATTTATGGCAGTTTACTTTTATGACTATGTCATTGCAATACAAAATGTCCGAACCACAATGAACTCAACACACACCCTACCTTTCTATTTCAAACCACATACATTTCAAATAAAATTATATTGTAGCTACTTATACAATATTTTAAAATATGAATGCTTGCAATTTGAATACATACTTAAGCCAGATTTTCAGAGGTGATGAATACCTAAGAGCCCTTTATAAGTAATATGGGCTTAGAGAAAGAGAAAAAAAAACCAAACCCTTTTTAGATGCCAAATTCAGTGTTCATATGGTAAAATGCTGGCCTGAAATCTGAATACATTGACTCATTATGCTGTACTAATGGAAACAAATCAACCTTTAAAGATAGGTAAACTGCAGTAATATCTTCCATTTATTCTCAATCTTTCAAAATGCTAAATCATTTAGCATAGACATCAAATATATTCTTTTTACTCAAATGCATGAAACATTGATTTTCCATCTTGAAAATAGTACATGATTTGCACTAACCTTCAGGATCAAGGAGTTTCTCAATACCCAAGTGCCGTTTAGCTACATTGAATGCATGGTCTAATCGTTGTATCACTGACTGTTGGGAAGCCAAACTGTTCCAATCAAACAGATCTGGTCTAAAAAAAAGAAAGAAAAGAATTATGATGTGACTGATAAAAAAGAGCAATCAAACAACCCCTGTCCACCCTGTTATTTGATTTAATTCTAGATCATTTCCATCCAAAACAGCAGTTAATATATTTTATGTAAAAATGCATATTTCTCAGATGAATAAAAAGCTCTAAGTCTATCCAAGGAATTCAACTGATATTGGTGAAGCACTAAAGTATAAGTTAAATTTTTCATAAACAGAGGCAGAACCATCATGGTGGAATTACAACTTAGATATACAAACTGGAACATTGTATTATCTGTGTTACTATTTGCAATATAAATAATTTTAGTAATTTATGATACTTGACATTTCAGGTAAGAGTTACCCATAAGGAAATCTGAATTTGTTATAAGGCACTCTGAAAATGTAATCACGTATACTGGAGTTTAATCAATATGCATACAATCTTGGGGAAAGCACTGACATTATTGGGGAGCGAAGGATTATTTTTTTGGTAATATCTTTTATTGAAACAACTACTTATTTGTTTTTGGATACAGAAAATGTTCTGACTGAGTTCTAATATGTGATTTTACATGGGAATAAAACAAGTAGGTTATCTACTCTTATTAAAAGGTTATGATAATGTATGACATATGTATTTCATTATTTAGTAAATAAAAACAATAACTTTGAAATGTACATCTCCAAATTAGAATCCATAGAAATGGCTTGTATTTTATCAGCATCTTGTAATACACTGAAATGGTCTCAGGAGACCAGAGGAATGATATGCTATTCATGTATTAGTTTTCCCAGTTACACTGTTCCCTTGCACTTGGATTTGTTCTGGGGAGAAAGAAGCAATTTTCATAGTCATAATTACATTATTTCTTAGTAACTGCATTGTAAATTTCTCTGCTGTGTTTGACTTCCATAGGCAGAAGTTTTAAACTGTCAATTAGGAGCAAAGACAGTGACATTCCCTCTGGGACCAGAAAGACACTAACACCTACAGGAAAGGCAAGGAGAACAAGCACAAAGAATGTGGCATGTAAAACACTGTGTCTATTCCTAAGACACAAAAGGGATCACTTTAAAAATTGTTAAGCTGTTTTTCTAAAATAAAATCTCATCTTACATGCACATGCATGCTTCATATTTTGAATGTGCTTTTAATTGTGGTATTTACATCCCAATATAACTGGTTTGACAATCAATACAACCTTTAAGTAAACACAAAATAGGCGCCAACTTTGTTCTTTTTCCGCAGACATAATGCCCCATCCCAAAATGGTGTTTTACTTTTAACTTGGCATGTACCCACATGCCAAGTCCCGTGCATGGCCAAAAGAGGCTGCACATTACTTCAACCCATCTCTGCAGCATCTGTAAAGATTGGGCGTTTTAGGTGAGCCTTTTTGGCACTTTTATCTAATAGCTACTTGCTAATTGATTGAATCAGCCTTAGTTAAAAGTGCCAGAAAGCTCTGCTGAAGCGCCTGATCTTTACAGACAGTGCAGAGCCCAGTTGAAGTAACACACTGCTTCTTCCAGTAAAATGCATTTTTGTTTTTTTTCTTAACATCTGCAAGCATGATTTCATGGGTGCTGAACATCTGCTTATTTTTTTCAGTGGGTGCTTGAGCCCTGGAGCACCCACAGAGTCAGCACCTATGAAACACAGACCTAATTACTTCTTACCACTGTGTCTCTTTCAAAATATAAGATTTCATGCCTTACAAAAGTTTAACAAAAAAGACTTGATGATTACAACAATATTTGTACTGTATCAAGATGTCGGCATTTAACTTACTCGTACATCTATAGCCACCACTAGAGTCTCTGAACTTCTTGAAGGCCTTGTATTAGAAATAAATGACATTATTGTGTTGTAAAAGATTAATCACATGGGCAAGGCTTTCAGCAGCAGAAAAATAAAGATTGAAACTAAAGAATGCAAGATATTTTTCTCCCAAAATAAATTTTTTAAAGAATTTGTTATGACATTTTAAGTATATCTATTCAAGTGTGTGTTGTTTCAAGTAGCATAATTTAAATGCAACTGTTAGCTAATAAATACATAGGTTCTTAAATGGTGTAATGTACTCTTTCCTAAATAGTACTGTTGCTTCTGGGAAACTTCTAGAAAAAGAGAATAATTCTGTACAGCTATTGATGTTTGTGTTTTTTTAAAGGATGATGTACTGTCATATCATTTCAGTGTGGAAGTCATCTTATACACAAAGTAATCTCATGAATGTTCAGTTATATCCAGCTTCTAAGTTGTGCATGCTAGGTGATAATTTTGAATTTGCCCAGACTCTAGTATCCTGTCTCTTTCTGTCAAGAAGGATTGACATTTTTAAACAGGAGGACGACAAAAAGGTCATTGATTTTTTTACTCTTTCGGATAGACTTGTATCTTAATGGATCAATATATGCTCAAGAAGTGCAGGAAAAAACAAGGCTATATTATAGGGCTTAATGTTTTCTGTTAGGGTGACTGTATTTGGGTCTTGGGGAACACTGGATTTGCAGCTGAATAAAAGGCTTTAGTCTGTGTCTTACCAAAGCTGCTGACCACAAGGCAGAATGAGATATTAAAAGTAACATTGCAAAACACTTAGGCAAGCATTTTTCTAACAATGGAGTCGTGTTGCAAAGTATAGAGCCCGTTGTATAAAAGAACGGGATGCTGCCCACCAGCTATCATCAGCAGATAAAGCAGAAGCAAGACCTTGGAGATGGTGCTGAAATCAGCAAGAAACGGCAAGTGACCGGGAGAAGCCAGGTTCACAGTCTTAAGCATGCGCTCGTAGCAAAAAGGCATGTAAATGAATGAAATGCATAGGCAATTCCATGCTAGTGAAGTAAACAGTAAACAGAGGCGGAGCTTGAGATAGGAGAAGGGATGGGTGGAACAAAGGAGGGGCAAAGGTGGAGTAAACGTTAATGAGCATGAACCAAAGTGTATGTAATGTGAAAAGAACTAACGTTCATGACAGGTCCCTGGTTTGTTGTTTTTTTGGGACCTTTGCCCAAAGCTGTCTCCATTCTGAATAAAGCTGTTGCGAGCAATGTGTGCTCCCTGCTTGCTCTCTGAGTAACTGAATCCATGGGCAACTGGATTGTCATCTCCCAAGTCATTGGGTGCCACATGGAGTTGGGGTCTAACATTTTTTGTGCTGATCTGCTGGATTGTAACCATACAGCCAGCATCTACCACCAAACAGTTTTTAAAAAACAAATTACATGCAATGTACATGAGAAAAAAACACCATGAGAGAATACTACCTCAGGGTGGTACTAAGACTTTCTAATAGGCCACTGACTAGATGGGGAACTTGGGAGAAACAGGGTTTATTTATATTATCAACAGTAAAATGGATGGAAGTAGAGAAAGGGGACCTCTTAATTCTAATTTGATTAGACAATACATAGAGGCATCCATTTTGTCCTGCAAAAATAGGATCGTCTTTCAAAAACACAAAGCTTAAAACCCCAAACAAACAAGAACAAAAAACCTGGTGGGGGACTTTAAAAAACGGTTCTCCTCATTTAAAAAAATGACTTAATTTTTCAGGTTTCTTCTCTGTCAGGAAACAAGTAAGTGACCCCAGCTCTAGGATATGCATATCTGAATGGCAGTTTGAGGTGTCAGCTTTTCAGTATGATGTCTTTTTGACACCTAATGGGTCTACATTCAAAGACTGATGCTGTCAAGCACAATCCCCAGGGTCATTACGGGATAAGATTTTAAAATGTGCTTGCATGAGGCAAGTAATGTTATGGAAACAAAATAAAATAGCAATGCCATTACCAGATACGCTTCACTTATTAAGACATTAAAATACAAGGATTTGTAGCTTCAAGGGGCAGTAGAAGATAAAAAGCATAAAGGAGCAACTTTGATCCACTCCTTGGCTAGGGTCAGACATTACACATAAACTGGTTTAAGTAATCAGAAACTGATTTAAACCCATTTACTGTTCCTGTTACTGGTTCAGTACAGTACTGTTCCTGTTACTGGTACAGGTTCAACTGGTACAAAGCAAGGTAAAATATCCTCACAAGTTCTCTGCTTGATATATTTCCAAAAGCATGCAATCATCAGCAGGGATGCAGTTGACAACACTCACCTACACTTTGAATCCTACCAGCTTCCAGGAAAATGTATATTCGGGAAATTAAGCTGGACAGAAATGAGATCCAGGTATCTCCAGCCATGGATGGCTTGGACTTCAGAAGACTACATGTGGGTGGGAAATGTTACTGTAGAACTCCATCTACTCTAATTTAAAATGGAGGGGAACTTGGGCCAGGTTTGGCCAAAAGCCATATTTGTCTCCCAACAGGTCCCTTGTTGGAAGCAGAGAACCATCTGCTGGAAAGGATCCAACCAACTCCAAGCCTCTACAGCAAAAAACACAGCCCTAACAAAGGACATGATTACATGAGATCTTACACGTTAGAGTAAGCAAGAGCTAATTCTTAGGACTGCTCAGGGGTTGTTATATGTTACCTTACATATGTGTTAAAAGTTCTTAGAACAGGAGGGTCTACATATTACAGAAGGAAAACATGAGCTAAGGGCCTTCTGAGTGGCTCAGAGAATCTTCTTCCAGTAAGGATGAACCCTAAGGCCAGGTACAGACATTACATTTTACTGGTAAAAATGATCAGAAAACTAGTCTATACCCATAAGAGAACAGAAGTTAGGCATACAAAACTTATAGAAAACTATGTAACTTAGATTGATTCCACCCCAGGCTTTTTGAATGTCTGTACATAGCCTAACTGGTTTAGTGAAGCTCATGTTGCAGTCACATTAGACCAACAGGCCCAAGACCAGACCAGGTGAACGCACTGTCTTCCCCCTAGAGTGGCAGCAGGGGCAGCTGGCAGAGCCCTAGACGTAAGGATGCCCCCCCGCACATTTCTGGCTTATTCCATCCACTGGGGCTCACCCCCTCTACCCTGGCACTTGAAGCTCCCTCCTCACCTGTAGGGTTGTCTCCT